ATTTGTACTAATGATAGCCTGCCAAAACACATAATGTTTAATTTTTTAGCCAAAACGGATAATAGAAGAATACTTATAAGAATAGTCACTTATAAGAATAGTTCACCAAAAAATGAAAAATTTCTGAAAATGTACTCACCCTTAGGCCTTCCAAGATGTAGATGAGTTTGTTTCTTTGTCGGAACAGATTTAGAGAAATTTAGTATAACCAATGGATCCTCTTTTGTGAATGGGTGCCATCTGAATGAGAGTCCAAACAGCTGATAAAAACACAAGTAATCCACACGACCCAAGTCCATCAATTCACGTGTTGTAAATTGAAAAGCTGCATGTTTGTAAGAAACAAATTCATCATTAAGGCATTTTAACTTTAAATCATTGCTTCTTGCCAAAATACGACCATAAGCCATAATAACGCTTCCTCCAGTGAAAAATTCCACCCCATTGTCCTCTCACACCAAAATTCATTGACGTATTTGGTTAGACTGTTTTTGCTTGTAAACAGTGCTTGGTCTGTGCATATTACTTGCCTGATTGAAAAGAGATGACTTTTTCACTGGAGAAAGCAATATTATAGATAGCAGACAGAAGCAACAGTTTAAAGTGAAAAATGTTTTATTGATTGAACACAATGTCACTTCACAAGACGTTAATTAATTGATGGACTGGAGACATGTGGGTTATTTGTGGATTATTGTGGTGTTCTTATCAGCAGTTTGGACTGTCATTCTGGCAGCACCCATTCACTGCAAAGGATCCATTGGTGAGCAAGTGATGTAATGGTACATTTCTCTAAATCTGTTCTGATGAAGAAACTCAATTATATCTTGGATCGTGAGTCAATTTTCAGCAAATTTTCATTTTTGGGTGAACTAGTCCTTTAACAGATAAGGGATTAGTCATTAAGTCAAGTCAAGTCAAGTCACCTTTATTTATATAGCGCTTTTAACAATACAGATTGTGTCAAAGCAACTGAACAGCATTAATTAGGAAAATAGTGTCAATAATGCAAAATGACAATAGTAAACACTAATTTTTCAGTTAAAGACAGTTCATCATTGAATTCAGTGATGTCAACATCCAGCTCAGTTTAAATAGTATCTTTGCAATCAAGTCAACGGTATCGCTGGAAATGAAGTGTCCCCAACTAAGCAAGCCAGAGGCGACAGCGGCAAGGAACCAAAACTCCATCGGTGACAGAATGGAGAAAAAACCTTGGGAGAAACCGGGCTCAGTCGGGGGGCCAGTTCTCCTCTGACCAGACGAACCAGCAGTACGGAAAAATCAATTTAAGACGTAATAAAACAGACGATGAACACTATTAACAGCAATTATTATATGATGCAATCAAACTTATAGCAAAATGTGGTAGTTCTGTATGTTGTTTCAGGGTTGGCATCATCTGAGGTCCTCTGAGGGGTTGGCATCATCTCTTCTCAGGTGTTCTGGATCCAGACTGAAGCTTGTGTAAATCCTAGTTACCACGGGATGTCAATCCCGTGGCAAAAAAACAGAGAAACAAATAGAAACATAATTAGCGTAGCTGCTGTTCCAACCAAGCAAAATTGATTTGTTTAACCCAAACTAAAGAATAATAATGTGCATTTGATCAGATTGATCATTAGAGGCTGTGCAAAGTGTAAGGCTACAAAAAAAAATGTGCTCAAAGGTCTCATGAGACCATGATGGTTTGGTGGAAAAAGAAAATACACAGATGAGAATAAAAATGAAGAGAGGGAGCAGAAGAATGAGGACAGAGCAAGACTAGATTGGATGATGTCTGAAGATAGGAGGAAGTCATTAGCTTCCTCCTTTAACTTTGGTGCTATACCAATTAAGCTTTGCCAAAAATAGCTCTGAATGTTCTTCCACATGCTGTGCATCACAGTCCATGTTTTCTGACAGCCCTTGTGCCCAGTGGAGGGATGTTAAAAGAATTGTTTTCTTTGTGATAACATACAGCAAAACCTTTGATTGCCATAATTCATAAAATCCAGTTTGGCAATTTAAAATATAATAATGGTTGTTTCTTTCATATCAAACAGACTGAAAAGACTTGAGGAGATAATTAGGTTGGGCACATGAACAGAGCAGCCATATTCTTTCCGCTGCTGTCAGAAATAAAATAATGATCTGTTCATCTCAATGAGCTGAGCAACAGTCTTGGTAAAATGAATTCCAGAAATTGATTATCACTTTGTCCATGCATCATCTAAAAGTGCAAATAAACCTTTGAGCACACTTTGTTTTGTTTAGATATGTCCACATATTTGGGCTCATGGTCTAATTATTGCCGTGACCAAATAAGGAACTTAGGTGTGGTGTTTGACCCAGAGCTGAAATTTGACAAGCAGATTAATGCTGTAGTAAAGACTTGTTTTTTTCCAGATTAGGTCTATTGCTCGACTAAAGCCTATTCTGTCAAGAAAAGTCTTAGAGAAGGTTATTAATGCCTTTGTTTTGTCTCGTTTGGATTATTGCAATGTGTTGTATGTGGAGTCCTGTCAGACCACTATCTCACGCTTGCAATTAGTTCAGAATGCAGCAGCTAGGCTGCTAGTGGGTGCTAAGAAAAGTCATCATATCTCTCCTATTTTAGCTTCTCTCAAGTGGCTACCAGTGAACTACAGGATAAAATATAAAACTCTTCAATATGTTTTTAAAGCAATGCATGGGTTGGCCCCTGCTTACGTGTCTGAGCTCGTTGCTGTTCTTCAAGCACCTAGGTCTCTAAGATCCCCGAATGTCCCTCGTACTCATTTACAGTTAAAAGGGGATCAGGCCTTTGCTGTTGCAGGGCCGAAGCTCTGGAATAGTCTTCCTCAGGAACTTAGAGAAGTTTCATCTTTGAATGTTTTTAAAATTGAAGTCAAAAACTACTTCTTGTCTTTAACCTTTGAGAGGGTGGGCTAGTCTTTGTTGTTAGTAGGATCTGTGTTGTTTTAAGTCGTGTGTTTTAATGAAGCGTTTATTTATTTTTTTGATTGTACAGCACTTTGGTCTGCAGGTGCAGTTGTAAAGTGCTCTATAAATAAATAAAGTGAATAATAACATGCTTAAAATACATTTATTTTCCATTTTCTCTTCACACTAGGTCTTAGTGCATGGGGTTTTCAAAGTGATGTCTCTAAAGCATGTCAGTGCTAAGGGGCCCATGGCACATCTCTCTTTCTATGTGTGTGTGTGTGTGTGTGTGTGTGTGTGTGTTAATGGGAAGTAATAAAAAATATGAAATGCAAATCACTACTCATCACTTTTAACAAATGTTGTATGGCAATATTTTCTGCCTAGGATTTATTATGAAAATTGCTATACAAATATCTGAATTGAAATGTTTATCTTGAGAATGTTTCTCTATACTTTTATAATAATAATAATAATAATAATCAAATAATCAATCAATCAATAAATAAATATTTTGGGTAACAGTTTATTTCAAGGACCAATTCTCACTATTAACTAGCATGCATATTAATATCATATTGGCTGTTTATTGGTACTTATAAAGCACATTAATGACTTATTCTGCATGATCATATTTTACATCTCTTATCTAAACTTAACAACTACCTTACTAACTATTAATAAGCAGCACATTAGGAGTTTATTGAGGCAAATGTCTTAGTTAATAGTGTGGTCTTAAAAAAAGTGTGACCAATTTCAGTCATTTACTCGCCCACATGTAGCACCAAAAAAAAAAAAAAACTCAAAAGTAGTTCATATGATGTCATTCGATTGCTTTGTGTGAATAACAGACTGAAATAACTTTTAATTTGTTTACATAAGCACAGATCAATGACAAAGAAATTTCAGAACTAGTTAGGAAAGGGAAAAAAAATATTTGAACACAGATTTTTGTTTTTCTTTTTAATGGCCATCAATTCTAGAAAGATGCCCTTGATGTAATAGTTAAGGAATCTACCAACAGAGGCCATGCTAAACAACAAAAACTTGGGCAATCCACTGTATGTGGAATTAAACAGATTTTTGCTGTCCACTGCTATTACTGGTGCCTTTACCTCATTTGAGTGTACTTTTTTTTTAACACTGAATAATTATTAATTAACTGAAGACAGCACCAGGGGTCATTAATTCTCAGACTCTTGTCTCTCCCTCTTGAGTCTTATCAAGCCATGAATATTTTTCAACACTTTTTCTTTTTCAAGTAATTATGTCTCTATCATTTATGCTGATGTTGTCCCATAATTGCAGATGTTTTCATGCACACTTTGCTGACCTACAGAATGAGGTATGAGCATTCATGTACATGTGCAATCCAATATTCTTCATGCTTATGGCGTATGTGCCCTATGGTGCATGTTTGAATAATTATTTGCGTGTTGATGATCCTCACAGCTAGAATGCAAAATGAAAAACCAACCAAATTTAATGCAAGACCTCAAAACTGAGAATGAAACCAACACTAAAGATGCTTTAATAGTATTTAATTGTATTTTTAACAATCAGTAAAAATCATAAAAATCTCAAAATATTAGTTTTAAAATTAATATTAGCATCTTTAGATTTAAATGTGTAAAACAACAAAGTAGAAAGAAAAAATTAGCATGTCTGAGACAAATTATCTGCTAACATTTAATGCCACATAAACCAGAGTTAATTTAAGTATAGATAATTTAAGTATAGAGTTTTAGTCATGGTCATTCTGGAAGAAATTAAATGAAATTTTCTTAGATTAAATTGTATAGTATATTTTTAAAAGCCCTTAATCATTTTGCAGTACTTTCAGTTATAGAACAGTTGCACTTCTGTGTAATTGTGTAACTGTCAAAACAATCTCTTGACAATTATTTGAACAAGATTGCATAATCTTAACCTAATTTTTAAAATAACTTGAATGTGCAAGACTTTCAGGGTCACTGACTTCCAGTTATTTTACCTATACATAAGAAGTCTGTTATGCTGTTCTATATTGCAAACTGGTATTTGTTATCATTTTGTTTCAATTTATCACAATCATAAACACACTTTTTTAGTTCAACTAGTTTTACTGTTTACTGCACTTTGCTATTCTCCTAGTTATTCACATTTAGTGTCCAATGAATCAGAAATCTTGCACATTCAAAGAAAATAGCTTGAGGTGGATATCATACAAAAATGTAGATTGTAGAACAATCATGGTTAGGGGTTCAGGTGTTGGGCTTTATGTTACATTAAGGTTTGTGTCATTCACTACACAATATTGCCATCATGAATTAATTCTTATATTGACTATGTGTGTGTGCTAGTGCTTTCTGCGCTCCAACGTGATCCAGATGCCTTGCTCTGGTCGCAGTACCAGTTCGCCCAGTGGCCGGAGTTCCTCCCTCTTCTGACATGCCACTATGTTAAAGTAGCGCAGAATAGAAGCCAGAATAACCTTTTCCTCCATTATAGCAAAACGCTGACCTGAATACACAAACATAAAACTGTCAGCTATTATTAAAAAAAGCCTCTGGAAAAGTATAGAATGACACATTATTTCCATGTATAATGTTTATGCTTGTAGGTCTCACCAATGCAGTTGCGAAGGCCAGCAGAGAATGGAATGTAGGCATAAGGATGTCGACCGACGCAGTTCTCTGGCAGGAAACGCTCAGGACGGAACTCTTCAGGGTCAGGGAAGAAGCGAGGGTCACGGTGAAGGGCATAGGTTATGACGATGACATTTGCTCCTTTAGGAACTTTATAGCCATCTATAGAAGACACACACAAGTATCATGTCAAATGATCAGTGGTGTAATGTAACGAAGTAATAATACTTCGTTACAGTACTTAAGTATTTTTGGAAGTATCTGTACTTTACATGAGTTTTAATATTTCAGCCAACTTTTACTCCACTACATTTCCTAATTAAAATGTATACTTTTACTCCGATACATTTTCCCGAAGCATACTTACTACAAATTAGTCAGAAGAACACGGACTGCAGGAAAGCAGGTTTGACGAATCAGCGGTCTGGTGTTTGGAAGTTAGACTCCTAAAAAACACCTTTGCTCGTGCAAACAAGTGCGCGCACAACCGCGGATGATTCATTTCCCACTCAAGTCGAGTCTGGGGTGTGCGATATACAGTGTATCTGCGATAATATGGCAAGTGTTGTTGTAATAATGTGCAATCTGACATTATCAAGTAGGCTATATCACCAGATCACACACAGAGTGCACGCACGTTGATTTATTAGTCTATTAAAACTCAAAATTCCAGGCATTCTAAATTGTAGATGGCAAAAATGCTTCTGTATGCTGTTTTTATTTATATAATTCAATAGTTACTTTAATCTATATCACACAAAGAGTCCCGTTTTTCTGCAGATATCAGCATGATAACACATTTAATAATCATTTTATACAAGTTCAGTAAAGCAATAAGTGACTTACATTTTAGACATAATATTGCTTGTTTTTGCTCAATTTTGCCAACGAAAATAGTTCCAAACAAAGATCACAGCACTGTTTTGCGTCTCTGAGCAATGGACGGTGTTTACTTATTGAATTAATCAGCTTTTTGAACGAATCGGTTGATTCACTCGTTAACAAAGGCTGCGTCCGAAAGCTCTAAAATTCCACGGCAGGAAGGCATCAAGGCATGTCCGAATCCAAATCCTGCTTTACTTCCTGTCTCCGGAGGTACCTTCTTCTGATCCAATTTTGAAGGCAGCATAGATGTATCATTCGCTGCCTTTGATATCCCACAATCCTGTGCGTTCCATTCCGTGACGGTTGGGATAAAAAATAAAGATGGCGTCTGAAAGTTGTGTTTGGTGGTCAGTTTGTGTGTAAATGTATATTTCTGACTAACATTTTGCACTTTTAATGTTATTTCTAGCGAGAAATCAGTATTATAGTAATTAAATATTCGTTTAGTTATCACCAAAACTCGTTCTATTTTGTTGTAGATCATTAAACCGTTACGCTGCCTCAGAAGCCTGTCCGAAATCAGTTTCACGAGGTGCCTCCGTACAAAAACGCTGCCTGCAAATTTATTGCCTGATAAGGCAGCAAGGCAGCAAGTCAGCTGCCTAGGCTTTCGGACGCAGCCGAAGTCAAATGCTTTGTTCCTGAATGAATCAGCCGTCTGTCACATTTTGACTATTTTTTCATGTTTTAAGTTATTTCAAATATCAGTATTCAATGTTTTATGTTAAAAACAAAACATTAGGCCTATGTATGCATCTGTAACTGCAGCTGAAATGCATCCATGTCCCCTCTGAGATACAGAAACTGTGTAAATACATCTAAATGCTATTTCAGATGCATATTCCAGAAATGTTTTCTTATGTTGGAATGAAAGACACTACTGGATGAAGTGCTTCTTATTCTTACCAAAAAAATACAAAATGGAAGAAAGAGTAAAAAACTGAACACAATCTTGCTACTCAAGCTGTGTATGAACATTTTTTATATATTTATTTGATTCTTTTACATTTTGCATTTACTTGTACTTTTACTTTCAATACTTAAGTACGTTTAAGATTTAAAAAATACTTTTCATACTTAAGTACAATAAATATCACATACTTTAAGACTTTTACTCGAGTAATATTCTAAACGGTGACTTCAACTTCTACCAAAGTCATTTTCTGGTAAGATATCTGTACTTTTACTTGAGTATGGCTTTCAGGTACTTTATACACCACTGCAAATGATACAGTTAAATAATTATAATAGCTTACCAAACCATGAAAATTCTCTCATTACTTATTAATATTTATGTTGTTTTAAACGTGTGTGGTGTTATTATTTCAGTTGAATGTTTCAGTTGAAATCAAATCAAATAAAATAAAATAGAGGATATCCTACTTTTTGTTATTGCATGATAAAAATCTAAGTAAAGATTGTGTGTGTGTGTGTGTGTGTGTGTGTGTGGAAGGAAAGAACAGCACTATAATTTGCTGTGATATTTGGGGTGAGTAAATAATAACAGAATTAAAGTTTGGGAGTGATCAGCTACCAGTACATTATTATTAAGAGAATAATTTATTAAATAATTAAATTTCTCTTGTTGCAGTTCACAGAAGAAAAAAGGTCATACTGGTTCAGACCTCTTTGTTTGTGAACTATTGCTGTAACTGATGAACATAAAGTGGATGAAAAAAACACTAAACTGTGTAAATTAACAAAATACCACATTATTCAATGTATGCATGACCCAAGGAATGAATGAATATGTGACAAGTAGACTAATATAAGGAACTCACTGATCTGTGTATCCTCACAGATGGCTCGGGCAAAAAACGGAACAGAAGGAAAGAGACGCAGAGACTCCTTTATCACACACTCCAGATAACGCAGTTTCTTTAGATCCTCTGTGTTAATTGGCCTCTCCGACTCGCCTGACACACACAAACACATTGCAAAATTATTAAAATGAGTTCCAAACTGTTTCAGGCTCTTCAACAAAGTAATGATTTAAACACCTATTCTTGGTGTTTAACTGAATAATATGAACCACAACAAGTGGGCTTAACGCACCAAAAACCTCAAATAGTTCTTGTTGTGCCTTCCTTTGGACTTCAGGATGGGAGCCTAACAAGTGTATGGCCCAGTTCATGGCAGCCGCTGTAGTGTCATGACCCTGCAAAATGTAGCAAAAAATGCTTTTTAACATAAAGTTTACCTCACCAAGTTACCTTGGTTTCAAAACATTTTAAAATGTCACTGATTTGGTAAACCCATGAACAAGTGTCTAACGGATTTAACTCATCTTGGATCAGTTTTATAATTTAAGTTCTTTTTTTAATTAAATTAATTTTAATACAGTAATACAGAAAAGGAGGATGATAATGACCTAGTTTGCCAAGCCTTGCTTAATAAACACACAAAACAAGCACTATACATTAATAAAAGAACAAAATGTTACAAGACCTTCATATTTAATGGTATTTATTTATTTTTTCAGAGTTATCATAGCATTGTTTAACCCGCAAGTGCCACTAGCCTATGTTGTTTTGAGCAGTGAATCATTTTGTTCCTCTCATCATTTTAACAGTTCCTACCTCAAACATAAAGGTGTCCACTTCCTCCTGGATATCTTCGTGAGTTAACTTTTTCCCATCCTCATCTGTTGTTTTTAACAGCATGTCCAAGAACGCCCGTCTTTTCCTCATCCCCTGATCTGATTCACTGTCAGACTCAATGTAGGTAATGTACTCTGCCCTCTCGTTAATTACCTACATGACAGAAAGACACACAGGTGATCAGAATGCAGCCTTGACCAGATTGAATGTGGTCGGATATTACATAAACACTCACACTCTCTGTGAAGGAGTGAAGGACTTTCAGACTACGGTTGTGTTCTCTGCCTTCACCAAAATAGTTATATACAAAATCAGGCCAGTACCAGGGCATCCTCTGGCGCCTGGTGATGATGTCACTCATTCTGTACCGATCAGAATAATAGAAATTGCAAGTATTAGTAAATATCATATTCATTCATTGGTAACACTTTATAATAACTTTCATTAATTAATCATTAACAAACATTATGTAATGCTTAACAGAGCATTAGTTAATACATATTCAGAGAGCTTTGCTAATGTACTAACGTATAGATCATTATTTCATGTAAACTGAAATGCTTTCAAGTGTCATTCAACTTTTAATTCATGTGATCATGCACTTTTTAAAACAATCGTCAAATGATTTTGACAGATGGTTTACAATTATTAAAAGCTTCTTAATGTACTTTTGAATGCTAACAAATGTCATTAAACCTCAGTTCACATATTACATAATGCTCTTTTTTACATTTACAAATGTTGTGAAAATATAGCTTAATTCGTAATTTTAAGCACTTCACAAACTATTCGTGTTAACATATTATTCATTAACTCATAATCACAGTCTGTAAATGTCATTCATTTGTTGCGTAGACTATTTTCTACTACTTCATTTGTTGCGACTACTATTTTCACATCTTAACAGGAGGGGGGAAAAAACAAGAAAATAATTCATTTATCATTTATCAAGACAATGTAATATAAACAGACTGAACCGTGTTCCCTCATAGTAATCAAATTGACCCCTGTACACTGTTGACCCCTAAACCATCTATGTAGAACTGGAATTATTTTGAAGTATTTTGAAACTTTCAGAACACTAAATATAACCATGACTCTAGACTGTTTCATAAACACACAAAGTCACCCATTGCATGGCCTTTGGTTAAAGCATGACCAAGGAATAAAAGCGAACTCACCAAGCCAGTTAAACACACACAGTTATTTGCAGTTTCAAACCAGTATTGATTTGTACTCGGATGCACAACCTTAAATCTGTCTAGCATCCACCCTAAAAATGTTCCTTCTATATTAACATTTAATAAATGTAAAAATCACTTACCTGTACACACTGCGCACATACTCAGAGTCATGGTTGCTCTGTGCATAGATCTTCTTTCCCATGGCAGTCTCTGAAATGTAACAATTCTGTTTTGAATGTTGATACTTGTCCACATCCTCAAACAAACTTGCATTGTCACCCTCACTAAAAACCAAAACCACCATAAACACACAAACAAAAGATATATACATAGACCATAGTCAGGTTAGACGCCATTAATGCCGATGAAAACGAGGCTGTGAGGAATAAATTTAGTCTTTACAATGCCATGTGCTGTATAATAGTCCAAAATCACATACGTTTGTCTTGTTCAAGGTAACCGTTAAGGTACTATCAGTACGTTTAAGGATGTTAAAATGTACAGAAAACTACACAAACCACAGATGATATCTAGGGCACAGAGAGTGATGTAGTTAAAGCAGTTGAAAGAGCCTTTTCCAGCGTGTTTCGCAAGTTTCTCTATGAGCACCTCTGCCTGTTCATTCATCACCTCCAGGAACTCAGTTAGTATAGAGAAATGAAATGTTGGGGTCAACATCTTACGTCTGCGTCTCCATTTATCCCCGGTACTAACAAAAGGAAATACAGAAGGGAATTTAAGCCAGGTGTCTTAGTTATTTGCAAAGGGATACTTATTTGTCTGCTCTTTATTATTGAACTAAATATAGAATCAGTATTGAACTGTCTCAAGCTCAATCACAATTCTACTGTCTTCAGTTTAATTCGCTGAATTGAACTTGATTTATAAATGATGAACTTTACACAGTTATTGAACTGAACCCAATCAACACTGAACTGACTGGAGCTGAATAATGACAGTATTGTTTTTTTTAGAGCTGCTTTACAGAAGAATATGGATTAGACTTATATTGATGAAGTTGGCATCACTGGTTCTGATCTGATACTACTAACTGACCCTGTTTAATACTGTGAAGTTGCTTTGAAATGTTCCCTACAACTTGACATTATTTAAAATGAGCCTTTATTAAGTGGGTAAACAGTTTACCTTGTGAGTAGTCCTGTTCCCAGCCAGGGGTGCAGAAATTTGTATGCATAAGCCTTGTCCATGTGAACAGGGTTATTCAGCACTGTCTGTATAAGTAGTAGGATTTGCCAAGAGTGACAAATAAAACATAAAATTGAGGACTTGTAAAATTGTCTTTGTTACCACTAGGGTTGATGATATATTAAGTATTATAACAAGTATTCATATGTTTGCAATGTAAAAATGTAAAGTACAATTTTGTTAGGAATATAGAAATAAGCAACATTGTGTTGAATATTGCAACTCTAGTTTCACAATCCTTTCTTGTCTCGCAGGTGTGAGACTGCTAAAACAGATGTTTAACTACATTTTTATTGTATTTTATTCCTTACATTAAACATTTTGAATCAACTTGGCAACAATGGCTGCTGAACTGAAATAATGGTTCCTCTGATCCAGAACTTTACTATCACCACCAAAACTAGTCTTTAATCTGCTTAAACCTTTTCCTTATCCTGTTGTTGAGCTTAATTTACAGTTCGCAGCGTTGGACTTTAACATACTGAATGGTCTCTTTGAATATTCTTCTAATCTTTAACGTCTTATGTATTTCTTTGTACATAGATATCATACATATAGTATCTTTTTCTTTTATCTAATGCACAGTCATCAACTTTTGTGGTGCCACTAAAAAGAGTTCACTCACTAAGGTTATCTTGATCTTCAAACATCTGCTCATATTGTGTAATATACTGTCACTATAGGCCAGAGACCCTGATCATAACAAGTGAGTGTGCGCGTCACATGCAAGTGGACAATACCTCGATAGTCTCAGCATGGTATAAGATGAGAAATGGGACAGGTCCAATCCATAATTTAAACAGAGGAGAATCCCAGAATTCTTTTGTGTAGCCAACCACCTGACAAAAGAATTCTGAAAGACAGTTTTCAACTTTTATACTTCAATGCATTTGAACGGTTACTTTAATTCCAGTGCAAATGGAGTTGTTCACAGTAACATGAACTTTCTATGTTAAAATTTATAGAGACAGGGAATAGTTGTCACATAAGAAAATATACGTTTTGTTGTTGTTTTAATTTTAAAAATAGAATAATTTAGAATATATTTTTATACACTTTTTGATGGTCTCTTTTGAACATTGAGTTGACAATAAGTTGCACGTATGTGTCAACTAACCCTCATTAGAGAATTAGTAGACTGTCCGAATAATATCTGCTAATTCTATTGTGATGGTCTTTGCAAGTACATTTCAACTTATTCTAACCCTAACACTACCAGTCTACTCGTACTCACTTTAATGAGAGTTAGTAGATATGTGGGTGGAAGGTTACAACAGAATGTGTTAAAGCAACCATCAAAATAATGTGAAATTGAATTTTTAAAATAGAAATAAAAAAAATATATAGAATACTTTAGACTATAACATTAAAAATAAAAATAAAAAATAGAATACTTGGCTATAAAGGGGTTGTCATAAACTGCGTTAAATGCATTGATTTATTGAACGATTAGAAATAGCCTATTCTTTAAAAGAATCATAGCATGTAAAAGTGCGCACTTTCATTGCATTTATTTTTTTCTCATATATTATTCGTTTTATTTTTGTCATTCTCTAATAATTTATTTTGAAATATTATCATGTATAAATTATATGTGTATTTTATATTTATTGACGAGATTAGACCAGACAAAACATCGTAAAGATGCTAGGAAGAAAAATGGACCGATATATTGCTCTTCTCACCTCCCGCGTTCGATTTAAACTGCAGCGCGTCCCCGATGAATGGATATGTGTTTCCAATGCCCGGCACTGGCTTCAGTTCTTTCCAGTTGTGCAGGTAGTCTTTCAGCAGCTGGTAGGTGATATATGTCAAAAGAATAACACAAACCGTCGCGGCTACGAACCCAAAAGTATACACACCGACGAGTGGGAACATCTTGCCACTGAGAGGCACGGCGATGCGTGTGTGTCTCTATGAGCTTCCCAGTGTTTCATAATGAATTTGCTACTGGACTTTGGATCATCCTGACAAGTAGTCAAACGCAAGTTCCACAAGCAGTGCTACAACCAAATGAATTTACTAAAGAACTGCAGAACCTCTGAAATGGGAAAATTTATTTGCTGTGTTTATGTTGGAAGTTTATCAGAGACATACGGGCACTTAACAAATTAGGCCTATAGTTTTTCATTGGAACAGTCAGTGGAAAGCCATTTTACAGGATCCAGTGTTCATGCATGCCACAATATAATCAGGGCCATCCCAAGCTGGCGCGGGGCCCAGTGCGAGGTAGGGAGCGGGCCCCCCGTCGGTCCGTTTGCACCAGTTGCCCCGCACTAGGACAGCCCTGGTTCTTTCTGTTTTTTGAATAATATATTTTTAAAATCAATCAAAGCGAAAATAAAAGTCCTAATATTTATTAATCACAAAATATCAGCTCGCATGCATAGCCTAATACTGCTTAATTGGCGCACGTGGCATTTGTGCGTGCATGCGTGCTTTTTCTCAGGATCGTCATCGGACGGTAGAAAGTAAAGGTAGTCTATACTTTTTGCATAATGTTTACATAATCATGAAAGAATGGTGTTCAGTAGGCGTGTTCAATGGTGTAGAGATGGGCAGTATTTTAATTAAATGTATTTGAAATACGTATTTAATTACTAAATAGGCCTACGTATTTTGTAATTTGTATTTTGCTGGACAAAAAAATCAAAAGTAATGTGTAATTAAATACTTTCAGAGACAGTTTTGTATTTGAAATACTCAAAATACATAATCAAGTAGTTCATCCGGATTAGTTCACCTGTTGTTAAAAAAAACTTTTGTTAATTACGCACCCTGGTGTCATTGCACTCCTGTAGGACCTATGTTTATCTTTGGAACATAAATTAAGATATTTTTGATTAAATCTAAGAGCTTTCCGTCCCTCTACAGTCAGTCATGCAACTTACACATTCAAGGTCCAGAACAGTAGGAAAGACATCATTCAGCACCATGTCATTAAGTATATCATTAAGTAATACATTTTATTAAGTACGTGAGTGCTTTTTTTTGCACAAAAAAATATATAATTTACCACTTTATTTGCGAAAATATTATCCAAACACATGTGTTGTGGTACTCTCGTGAACACTCACTCATGTGTGTTGTGTAGCGAATCAGCTCACGGGGAAATATTAATAATTAATCATAACTAGTTATAATTAACTATAAATATTTAGATCCGCTGTAAGTATTTACTTGACCTCTCAGGGTCAACTGTCTGTCAATTCTAAGAACGTTAATTTCCTGGTTAATACAGTTGGTATAGGAAAAGGTTTAAAGCTTAAGCAGTAAAGAGGAGAGAAATAAGCATGGAGCTATGGTACCATTTGATATTCAGCAGATCGACCGCCTGAAGGAAAAGGCTGCTGCGTGTTCAGATCCCATGCTGAGGCCATGCCATGTGTGTGCCCCGCCCTCCGTAGCGCATTATTGACTGTGTTACTAAAAACAATTCTTCTCTAGATAGACAGTTAAAATGTAATTAAATTTAGATTTAATTAACTAGTAACTGAGCAA